CTGAAGGCAACAGTTTTTTTCTTCCTCTCTACAAGAATCAAATATCTTCTAAAGAAGGAGAGCTAGTAGTGAATAAATGGCATTGCCTGTACAATCTTTCACTTTATAAAGACTTTTTACCTGCTGACAGAGAAATGTAATCAGAAGTGGAAAGAATAAGCTACAAATATTGCATCATTAAATGATATGTACTTAAAAAACACAAGTAATAATTAAGTCATTAACGTGTGAAATAAATCCATACAGGCTGCCCAGGGAGGTTGTGGAGTCTTCTTCTTTGGAGACATTCAAAACCCACCTGGACGCGTTCCTGTGTGACCTACTGTAGGTGATCCTTCTCTGGCAGGGGGGCTGGACTAGATGATCTTTTGAGGTCCCTTCCAACCCCTGACGTTCTGTGATTCTGTGGCTGTGCAAAAATTAATCTCATAAAGAATGATTCCATTTCAAATTATACTATTTCAGTGTTACTAAGGATTACTGCCTATTCAATTTGTTACATTTCATTATGTTTTATGTTTCTTTTTTAAAAAGAACTGTATTCATAAGTTTTTCAGTCAGCCACTAAGCCTCATTCAAGGCTCTGTAAATGACATTAAATGAACTGCCTGCTAGTAGCGAAGATTAAAAACAATTTCCCAGAGAAACAGAATGTCCATCTCTGCAAATTAAATTTTAAATAAGCCTACTTATTTAAAAATAGTAACATATATTTTAAAAAATAAAACTTTTTCAGAGCAAGAACTCACTTACCTGGATGGATAACTTTCCATACATAAGATTTTTTATGGGGATTTTATCAGGTTGCTTTGCTGTTAGCTTATAAACAATGAAACACTTAGATTGAAGTGCCTCAGTATTCAATTTCCTGTTGGTGATTCTTGCACACTGCTATTTTCTAGTAAACACAATAATGAAGTAATTTTAGTTGCCATTATGAGAAAATAGTCCAAATATTATCATTTTTGCACAACTTCGCAGTAAATAACTGTTATAGATTGAAGTCACAAGACTCAGAAACTGAAGCTGATTGGGTGTCACTCAGTTCAGTATTAGATAGGCCTTATTGCTGCTGGTTTTAAGTATTGGTTGACAAAGCAGTCCTAGAAACCCATTTTTGATTGGATCTCAGGCATCTGTTGTTCTCCCAAGAGCATAAAGCTCTCAGAAAAAAGGACAAAGTGGGCAAACTCTTTTTATGCTTCTGTTTAGTCAAACTGACTACTAACTTTTCAGCCTTCAGGAACCGCCTCATGAATTAGCTGCTGGTGGTGTTGAACATGCGGTAAACTTCAAAATAGGCAAGACAGTTAAGTCCAAGTTAAGCATGTACCATATAACACACCTTCCAAAAATTATATGTATATTCCAGAATGAGAATCATGTACATTTAAGATTGTAAAATAATCCTTCTGTGCAGAAATATATGCAAAGAATAGAGGAAGGAGGACAAATCATGAGGGTGACTCTTTAACTAGGTTTTTAAAGAAAAAGGAAGGCTCTGCTTAAGGTCAGGTTTGGGCACTGATAATGAGCCCTGTGGTTGTCCCATGCAGCTTGCATGTGGGTTACATGATGACAGCAGATGATTCCTTTCCTGACTTGAAAAGTCCTCAGGCAGCAACAATATAGATACAGGTTTCTCAAATATTAATATGCAGACCATCTTGCCATAAAAAAAAAAACCTTGGAAAGATTAGATTAAAGTCAATTATAATAGATTTCAAGGTAAAATACTTTGATACTATATTTTTAGAATAGATTTTTGTTTCCATTTTCAAATGCAGAAAAAAAAGGTATTTTTTAACATCCTAAATATTAAATCTTTTATGTAGACAATGGAAGCCAATAAGTGTGGTGTGAAAACAGAATATTTTGTGACTATAAAAAATCAGGACATGAGTTCTATACTACACATGTATGGATCTGATGGGGTGAGTCACTGACTTCATCATAGAATTTTATCCTACATTGAAGAATAAATGCTTCATATACCAGAAAAAAATCCAATTTTTTACCTAGTAATGATTAATTATTTTAATGCTATGTCTGTGTGTAAAGAATTTCCTTCTGGAGATGAAATCAAGAGCTTTTTATGTTGTTGTTATAAAAGAAACTACACTTAAATTTCCTTGTTCTATGGGATTATCTGGATGAATACTGCCTACTAAGATGAGTTAGGGTTCACAGAATAGACTAATAGCCTTAAAACAAAATTTTAAAAGTGACTAAGCCATCCACCCTTTTCTTAACTCTAGTATTTTTTTCCATGTTATTCCTTGGCAGCACATTCAATAAGACATATGAGCAGGATTCCACATCACATTTTGTGGTGTGAATTAATATGCCTCTGTTACACAGGAGGCATTTCACAAGCATGATGGACAAAAAGCAACATGATCAACTTCCAAGGTTGTCTGGAGTCAGTGAAAACTGGCATGACTTAGTACAGAAGTTCTTTTGTAATTCATGCTAAGAGAAAGCTAGACCATTTTCCATTTTTTAGAAGGTGCAAAACAGAACTAATGAGAATGATACTAGAGCGACTAAATGCCTCAACTTTCCATACCCTTGTATAATTATATTTAAACCTAGATGTTCCTATATTTTAGTTTCTGCATTTACTAAACTTACAATCAACAGATTGATTCTCCTTGCAGTTCCCTCAGTGCAAAAAATAAAATCCCCATCCTCCCACTCCATCTCTTATTCACACCAGTTTCACAGTAGAACAATTTCTGTATTTTGAAATTATGTCTTAAGAACAAAAATAAATGACAGCAGAATCAGGCCAGTGAGCTTTTCAGAAACAGATTTTTCAGACATTTAGAAACAGCTATCAATCCAGGTCATAAATTCTAATCCTCATATTAAACTACTGAGCATGTTCAAATTTAAATATGCAGTATCTAAAAATGTCCAGATAGGTAAATTCAGTGAGTAACTGTATGTGTACAGAAACAAAAGCTAACACGGTCTTCAATAAACTTGAGAACATGTGAAACATACCTGCTAAATGCAGCTTCATATTTCTTCTGATTCTGTCTTCTTCCTTCACCATCAAAGACCTGCTTGATATACCAATTGTCAGTTTTAGACTATCTAGGATCTAGCTCGTAGCTGAGAGGTTGAGTGCAGGTATTTGTCAGTTGCCTATTTTTACAAAAAAAAGGACACTTTTTTCAGTCTTATGAAAGGATAGTCACAATCTTCCAACACAAATATTCCTTCTGTGCATGGCAGTGTGTATGAAAAGCAGTAAGTTTCCTGTAAATCCAAATTCTTAAGTTCATTTTCACCAAACTAGAACAAGCCTATTCCAATGCCAATGTTTGCGCTTGGAATTAAAGATGAAAATGCTTTCTCTTTTCTTTTCTGCTTTACTTAGCTGTTCAGAACACCATCAAAAATGCTCGTTTATGCAGCAAAACTTTAAGGTCCAGAATGTAAGAGGCAATTATTTTGAAGTTTTTTCCTCTACTTAAAGTATATTTTGAAAATCTCTTATTCTCAACCAGCCCAACAGCTGTTTAAAAACTTCAAAGTACTATTTCCAGATCTTAATACGAAAGAGTCACTATGCTAAGTGAAGAAAAATGACGTGCTAATTTTAAAGTTGTAATTATTTTAAATTACATTTTGTGCAGTATTTAATTTTTCATTACTCTTTTCAACCACACATATGTGGACTGGAACTATCTGTGAAGCTGCTTGTTCAAAAAACAGAACTAGTTTTTCATGGCTACAGAAAGAGAGATGTTCACTGTTCTTTGTCAGCTTTTACTGTAGTCATGGTGTTTGATGTGTAAAGCTAGACAGATT